TGGAAAGACAGTGTTGAAAAACCCTCATAGGTTCTTAAATTTGCTCTCGTAGCATTTAAATAAAATTGTGTTTGGATTACTGGGGAGATAGCTAATTAGAAGTATGTATAAATGTAGACGAACTCTTTGAATGATTATGCTTTATTTTCAAGGATATCAGAAAATTGATTCGCATTCAAATACTTAAGAGGTGTGTTAAACATGAGGAAGATATGTTCACATATACATACGGGTTTGCTGAATATGGGTCTATGAATCTATTTTGATTGAATGTATAACCAATAAAAGATATAGAATAGCGATAAAACACCCTAATCCTGGAGGTTTTAGCATAGTATTTACTTAAAATGTGGATTAAGAAATCATTAGAAGGTGATAAAATAAGCATATTTGTGGAAGTTTCCACAATTTTATTAGCAGGTCTCTCAAAACTAGTAGAATTCACTTAGATTTCCCTCACCAAATATAGTATAATACTTGATGAACTGTAGATTTTTTACCTTTAGATCCCACCAATATTCACACTGGGATTAGGAACTGCGTTTGACTTGGTAATTGGTAAGACCTTACTACTTTGCCTTATTTACGGTTGACGTAAGATAATGAGGCAAAGCGACTTTCAAGACTGGATAGGTTTTTACTATATCACATTTTTTGATATGATTGTTCATGAGGCCCTTTTATTTGCTGTCATAATCGCAGACAATACACATATTCTGCAAGAATATGTTCAAGAATATTAAAAATGTTTGAATCAGCATTTTACTAACTGTAGGTCACATTAGGTGACCTAAGCTGTTTCCATAAATTTGTTGCATCCAGGTTATAGTACAGTTTAGAGCTCGCCTTGATCGCATTAGTATCAATTAGGTCTAAGATATTTGGTCTAATATAACCTTATACTAATCATAAATACAGAGGATTTGTCAACTGATAAATAATTCACTCTATAGTAAGCTAGGCCTAGATATAGCAAGTATTATGAAGTTTGCTAATTATAGAATTTAAAAATGTGTTTAGAGTTCAATTTTAATCAAAAGCATTATCAAAATACGCAACTTATCAGAAATTACGATTGTAGGATAATATATCAGGCCAGTTATTAAAAGAAGCTGATGTCGATCTAATCTATTCAACCTTATATAAATTTATTTATTCAGACTCAGTAAAATCCGATCAGATAAGTATGTACGATAATCATCATGATTATCGTCTTAGTTTAGGTAAACTTTATTTGAGAAAGGTTTCATGTTTTGCCGATGCATGTCAGGTAGTGAAGAAAATAATAATACAGAACTCTCCAATTTATCCAGGCCATTTTAAGGAAAAAATAAATTGAAATAAAAGGCCTGAAATATTATCACTCAGGATAAATTTGGATTATTTGTGACGCTTTATTTTTATCAGATTAATTAGCCTAACATATTTTACTATCAAATTCGGTAAAAGTTTAAACTTCTTGTCGAGCTCTCAGGGTATTGACGCATTAATATCACTTTATGTAGTGAAAATGACTCTCCTTTTTAATGGCATGTATGCGCCGTGTCTCTATGGCCATAATTGGCGCATATCGATGAACCTGTATTTAATGTCTAACTTATATAATTATATTAAAAATAGATAGGTCAGCAAGGAGGCCTAAAGTTACTTGGATGATAAGGGTTATTTTTATTTTGAACAATTTGCTTTCCTATATAAATTAATTTAAGCCTACTTCCTGCAAGTTACCTACTTTGTTCAGATATGCCTGATTTTCGCTCATAAAGTTCAGGAAACTTTTATGCTGCTCAAGGGCAATCCAGGCTGCCTCTATGATGCTGGGAACATACTGATCTCCAAGCCTCATCTGACTTTCACTCCACTCTTCGGCCTCATTGTTTGCAACTGCACATAGATTTTGTGTCGATAATTCCGAATGATTTCTGCTGGATGCTCCTGTATACAAATGCCCAGAGGCATTTACACATGTGGCAGAGTCAAGTATGGATGAAGAGAGAGGGGGTGAGGCAGGAGCAGAAGATGGAGACGGCTGCATTGCAGTAGAGGCGATTGGACCTTGGTGCAAGCCTAGTCTCAGAGATTGGCCCTGGAGCCTGTAAAAACTTGCTATGGCATTTGTCACCAGTTGTCTCACAAGACGTTCTGTTTGATGCTGATGTAATTGGCCGCACTCAATTACTTGGTTAGTTACATGTAGCGTCTATAAATAATGAGAAAGGGGAATTTTGAAAAAAATTAAATGCAGAGTCTGCAATAAATACGAATTTTGGTCTACATTATTCAGAGATAAAGAATATATGTATGAAAGTTTTGCATGATGAAATTAGACATTAAAAAATATTTTAGGCATGCTTAGATGTTTTCTAATAAATAATGTATCATTCTTCTTCGATGCGTCCTCACAAATAAAATACTTCCAGATATAAATATTTCAGATAAAAACATTTTCAAGTGTTTCTTAGCAGGAAAGATTGAGGCTGTATATGCACTAAGTGTAACTAATCCAAAGGAAAATTTACTGCAATATTTCATGTGGCAGTCACTTTGCCCAAAA